TTTTGGGCACACACACACACACACACACACACACACACACACGTGGCTGGCATGAGTTTTAAGCCACAGGATCTAGGTCTTGAACCTCGGTTGACTATGTGGGAGTCCAGTGACATAACCATCATGCCATTTCCTGGTCTCAAGCATATACACTCTCTAGCAAATTAAAAAACAAATGTTACAAAAGAAAAGGACTTTTCTTTTTCTCACTACAGAGTATGTGTTCTCACCAGAGAGAGAGAAAAGAGGACTGGAAGGAAGGGGACAAAGCACCCCCAGTAGTGTGGTCATGCCAGAATCTCTTCTCCTCCAACTCTCCATCCTGTTGTGATTTTGGACACACACATGCCCGTGTTTTTCAGGCTGTCATGGCTGGGGTCTGGGACTCAACCTCATGGTCTGCCTTGTGGGATCCAGCTGCTTTAACTGCCAGGCCACAGGAGCCAGCCTGAACATTTTCTCTAAATTGAGAGTGTCTACACTAAATCTCAGGAGAAAAAGATGTAACAAAGGGAGAAAGAAAATTTACCGGGATTGCAGCTGCTGTTCCCAAGACAGATAGGACAAAAATCACGGCCTTCATGCTTCCTGCACCTGTGAACCAAGAAGATAGTCATCAGTCGTGGTTAAAAGTTTCTTTATGAAGAGTAAAAAGATAATCCTAGCAAATACGGAGCTTAATACTGTATGTAAAGGTAATAATGTCTTTGTGTACTTACATGTCTAAAAAGGCAGTTTCATGACAATTTTTACCCAATAATGTCCTTGTAAAAATTACTCCTCGATTTTTTTGGACTTCACAATGGAAAAAGCATTAAACTGATGAGGGAGCTGGATTCTCCTTCCAGCACTATTCCTAAGTGGCCAAACAGTTTTCTTAAGTAATGGACAACAAAGGGCGTGATAGAGGATCCTCTAACCCTAATATTTTGTGATTCTAAAATAGAAATGAATTCTTTACATGTCACAAACCCCAAATTGTTGCTATCTTTTCCTCCTTAAACTACTAAACCCACTAAAAATATGTGCTATAATTTTATTTTAGCAAAATAAAATATTTTATATACAGTATTTAATACTTAAAGTAAATATATAGGGCTTATTGTCTCTCTGTATTATTATTTTTAAACAGATTTAATTTTATCTATTTATTAATATTTTTAAATTTGACCCGATAGAGCAAGCGAGACAGAGAGATGGGGAGGAGTGAGAAAGCAAGCTGCCAGGTCTGGGACTTGAACCATGGTCAACCATGTGGGAGTCCAGTGCCTTAACCACCACACCACCTGCTGGCCCCATCTCTGTGTCTTATTGATGATCATTTAAAATATTTTATTCTCTTAGTGAATGCTAGTTGTAAGGAATCAATAAAAAATGCGATTTACTTCCTTTCTGTTTGAAAATGTAGTACTTATTAATGAATTCTTTTTGTAAGTATTTATTAGACTTATTGAACTGCAGTCATGGCCTTTAGCTTATTTTAAGAACTGAACAGATGTGCTCTTTATATGGAGAAGAGTAGCCAACGTTCCTGGGAAAGGAAGATATTTTGAAAACAACTGTCACACTGAAGATGCAGGAAGGCTCAATTAGCTGACGCTTGCAAAGTCCTCTGAAAATGAAAACCATGATGTCCTTGCTAAGTATGATGGATATCATTTATTCTTGGATACATAAAAAGTCATTTATTTAGAGACATTCAAGTCTGGCATGCATTCTACAAAATGCATATTGTTATTTTTGCAGAAAGAGAAAATAAAACTAGATGAAAGATGCAAAAATGAGAAATATATGAGTACACAAAATTATTGTCCTTAAAGACTTAAATATGCAATGTTGATGTGAAATTAGATAAATATTATTTTCTCAAATGTCTGAACTTATCCAAAGGCAGCCTTAGAGCTGACCGAACACGTGGTATGGAATCAGAAGATCTAAATTCCAGAACTGAACTGCTTTCTATCAGCTATTTTATTTAAGTTACTGATTTCTTCAACGACAAAACATAAAAAATAATAGTGCCTTACCCATTCATTTTCTAGAGTTATTTTTAGACCCGAATTGGTCATATAGCTGTTTGGTAATTTTACCAACTGTAAAATTGAAGCAAAAGATATTCTTTCTCATAAGACAGGAAATGATTAGCCCCAATGACTAAAAATTCACAGAGATCTCAATGCATCTCCTTACGTGGAATCCTTAAGTTCTTTCTTTCTCTCATACTATCGTTTCTTTTCATAGGTCTAGTGAGGCTAAAGATGAGGGGTGTTGGGGAACTTCAAGGAGAGCCTTTTCCTTCTGTTAGGAACAGGACATCTTCCAAACTTTCAGGAAAACCTCAATCAGAATTTCTGAAGATGAGAGCTAGTTTTATAGAAATGGCCTTTCTGGGGAAACCCAGCATTTGGGATTTCAAATGCCTAAGGTTCTATCGGCTGTCTCATGTACTATTAAAACAGACATCCAAGTAAACGTTTAGCCTGGCAGACATAGGTGTGTCGTTAAGAACCAAACACCCATTAAATTCACCGCTGTCCTGACTCACGTGGACAGCTGTCTTGGGGCAATTGCTTACATTTCTCATTGACTGTGTGTAGATGTTGTGGAAAAGATGGCTGTAAATTCTGTGCTACTCCTATTAAGAGAGAGAGTCTAATTCTTCCATGAATCTGAACTGACCAACTGACTGAGATAGAAATGATATTCTGGGACTTCCATGACTAGGGTCACAAGATGCCTTGAGTTTTGTTTTGTTTATTTTTTTTTGTTTGTTTTGTTTTGTTTATTTTTTTTTAAAAAATCATTTTATTTCTTTCATGTGCGAGAGAAAGAGAGACAGAAGAGAGACAGTCACTCTGGACAGGGTGTTGTCACACTGTAAGGGACTGTCATGCCACAGAAGACATTGTTCAGCAATCCCTGACAATCCCAGCTCCCACGTGTCCTTGTAAAGACACAGGGCATGTGAGAGGAGCCATCTGGGCCACTCCAGACCAGCTCATTTGCCAGCAGGGTATCTTTGAATGACCTGTCCAAATTTCTGACCCACAAAATCTTGAGATAGCATGAAAAGATCATTGTTTTAAGTCATTAAATTTGTAAGCAATAATAGATGATTGGAATAAACATGGACTATTTTGTGTGGTATAGCACTCAAGTATATTCAGTCAGAGTAGAATCACTTATGTGCATCGAAGCATTATTGTATTGAAAGTAGATTTTTCAAAAATGTCAATTGATGGGGCTAGCAGGTAGTGTGGTGGTTAAGGGTGCTGGATTCCCATGTGGCCAACCATGATTCGAGTCCTGGACCTGGTGGCTTGCTCTCTCCCTTTCCCTTTTTCTCTCTCTGTCTCTTGCTGGTAAAATTAAAAAATAATAACAAATGGAATTAAATGAATAAATAATTCTTTTTAAAAATGGATTGTTTAGAGTAGCTAATATAAATGGCCTATTTTTTAAAAAAAGAGTTTATTATATGTCAGAAACAATGGTAAGTACTTCACCCGTGCACCAGCCATGACCTCCACCCATAACCTCACCTCTAGTTCATAGAAATAGCTGTCCACTAAGAACTTCCTGAACATCTCTTATTGCCATGGTGCCCAGTCATGACTGAGGATCATGGAAGCGAGGGGTAGCCTTTTAGGGACATTTTTAAAGATCTCTCTCAGGAAAAACTAGCACATTCCTTTTCTTCTATACTATGTAATTGAGGGATAACTTTAATTATATGTGGAGGAAACTCACAGGCTTATCTTAGGCAAGATTGTGCAATAACCACTTTTCCACACCTCTTCATAATTCCTATCAGAGTTCCTCATCTTCTTGCACCACTCGCTAATCTTATTGTGTCTCATTTCAGCAATCTGTTCTTTTCCTTGGGCATTTTCCAGCTATTTAGAAAGTTTCCACTACCTCCTGCCCTCGGATGTAGTGGAAGAAAGTGCTCCAGCCATATTTATTTTTCTTTGCTTTAGTCTTATCATATCTGTCCTTCTAGTTCCTTTCATTGTGAATGCAATGTTATCCACAGTTACATTTGTTCACCCCCCCCCCCACATGACTTTTCACATATGCCTTGGGGTGCAGATATCTTAAGAAGCTTAAGTTTCAGGACCTTTCACTTACACAGGCTTCATGCAAAGTCCTATACCTGATTTCAACTTATTTTATTTTTTAAAAGAATTATTTATTTTTAATTAATTAATTAATTAATTAATTATTATTTTTAACACACCAGAGAGGGACAGAGAGAGAGAGAGGAAATGATAAAGCAAGCTGCCAGGTCTGGGACCTGAACTGTGATCAGCCACATGAGAATCCAGCACGTTAACCACCATACAACCTGCCAGCGCTGACTTTTTTATTTTTTACAAAGAAGGTTCCACATATTCATACAAACTCCTGGTTTCACAGATCCTGAGTCCCATCCCAAGTATGGCTCTCCTGAAGGCCTGTGGCATTTATGATGTTGCAGGGCTTGGTTATGTTGGAATGATTAGCCTCATGTTGTTGTTGTTGTTATATTATATTAGAATTCTCTTATTTACCTTTATTTAAATTTGACCAGAGAGGGACAGAGAGAGAGGGAAAGTGAGAAAGCAAGCTACCAGGTCCAGGACTCGAACTGTGGTCGGCCATATGGGAGTCTACGCTCTTAACTACCACGTCACCTGCCGGCCCTACCTCATATTCTTAATAGCATGAAAATTAGCCTTCTGAAATGACCAGACACATTAATCTTATTCTTTTTTCTGCCTTTTGGTCTTTTCTCTCCCCTTTTTTCTTTCTTCTCTACATTCCTGCACTTTTTTTTTTTTTGCCTCTGAATTTCTTCCCCTGAGTGCCTGGTTCTTGCCCTTCTCTAATTCCTCCTATTTGAATTTCTCTAATTAGTTAAACTCTACCAGTATAATATAAAACAAAATCTTCTTTGGATTCAGTGGGCATTGTCTCTCTTTTGCTACCAGAGTAAGTCAGTTGTTAAATTCTACTAGTTGGGAGAGGAATTTCAAGTGCCCTGAGTTCTGTAAATAGACCAAGAATTATTCACTGGAAGGAGTTCTCTTCCAGGATGAAGAAAAACAGCCAATAATACTTAAGAACAGTTCCAGGAGGCCTCATTCTCATGGTGTGGGGACCCTCGGGGGAACAATGGTGGACTTTGATGTGTATTTAGCTCTTGTGTGGACCACTAATGAAAGCACTCGCTCCCAACAGAGGCCCCTTCAGAGCAGCACATGGTCGCAGCTTCTCATGTACCTCGGTGAGGGCCAACACAGTGAATAGGAGAAACGACTTGTCCCAGTGGTGCAGCGTTACTCATTACCTGCCTTCCTGAGAGAGGCAGATATGATAAACCTTAATGGATCTGATGTCAGGAGTTTGAAGAGTTCTCTGAAAAGAGAATGAAAACTGAAACTTAGATGCCATTAGAAGGGAAGCTCTAGAATATTCCTTCAAGCAAGGAAAGGACACAGCTGGCTCACAGCTGTTAATCCCTCCTTTCCCAGCCTGAGAAGTTTCCCCCACTGAGTATCTGGATATTTTATATGTCTCCCCCACGGATGTGCTGTACCCACTCTCTCCTT